TAAATATACAATAAAATTAGCACTTACTTTTTTAAATATTCGGTGGTAATACTGAAAATTGAAAGTTAACCATCTGAAATTAGACTCATTTAGATTTTATGATTGTTAACTACAGATATAAATTTATGAGCATTTACATTTTATTGGGCTTTTCTGGTGCAAGTTACTACTAGAACTACGAACAGAAATACGCAGTGGTCGACTTGCGATAATTTATGCAGCCACTGTGTATACAGACTAAAAGACTCAGAGTTTTAAAGAGGAGAAGAAAGATCTCTGCAACCCTGTTGCGGAAGTCGCCAATCAACTTCAGAGTCATCTGCATAATATGTGGAAATCTTGTCAAAGAAGTGTGAATCAAATTTCTTCAAACCACGAAAGCTTTGGTATTCCACATGTTAAATCCCAAACTCTGCAGGCAGAAGAAGTTTGTTCAGCTACTGAACCCACAGTGGACCTAGTTATGTCTTAACATTCGATGGGTAATTTTTTTCTGAATCTTATTTAATTTAATTTTCTTCTCCTTTGTCACTAATACATATCTACTCCTCATGACATTAATCTAATTTTGGTCCTCCTTGAATTTCGCTTGAGTTCCACTCAAACAATCCAAATTTGTTACGTCACTGAGTGTATTAATTCAATTTTGTTTTGTTTTCTACCTAATTAGTGCTTTCTGTATTATGTGATTGACATCCCAAAATCTACAGTTTTAATGACACTCGTTTGGCAAAGTATTAAGTGTATGCGATTGTGCAGCTTTAGAATTTTATCACTGAAAAGTGTTTCATAATTTCTACACAGTCTGCAAATAGCATGGTATCTAAAATAACCTTAATAAATTTGCTGAATAGAATAGTGAAGTTATATTCCTCTTGTTTCATTTATGTTGATTTCATAAGGAAAATAATGAAATCTAAGAGCTAATAAGGAGAATTCATTGAATTTTGTAAGTAGTGATTATCGAGTACTGGTATTGGCGAATTCATGAGCTTATACATTACACATTATTATTAATGAACTTTTCAGTCTTTAAACAGTTACACAAGCATGTCGGACGTGAGGACTAATACTCTCCGAAGACATGGCGAAGTGGTCGCGCTATTTCGTGAACTGGCAGGGGTTAGAATTCATGGGCTGGCCATTGGATCGGGTCTTACGAGCTCGCCTTGTAACCAGAAGATCCTGGGTTCGAAACTTGTCGTTGGGTGCGTAATGATGAGTAGTCCCAAACTAGGACATAGAAAACAGCTGTCCAGTACTCTCAGGTGTTCCAATAGTTCTCTAACCGATGTCAGCTCTTGATGAAATCCTGTAGCCAGTTAATTAAGTCTCTACAAACCGATACTAGAATATATCAATTTAGAAAATTTTTTCTTCTAACGGAAATTATTGGTTATATTCTCATCAAAATGAATACTTACTTGACTGTAAAAGGTGTTTTAACACTGAAAATTGAGAGTTGAAGTTTAGAAAAGGTAGTCATTTAGATTGTATGACTCTTAGTTGAGACTAAATACAGAGAAAATACTTGTGGTCATTTATATTTTGTGGAAATTATCTGGTGGGTGTAATCAGTTAACGCATTACAATAGATTTACAAAGTCCTAATTGACATTACAATGTTTCATAAGTGACTATGACTCAATAAGACTCTTGCATATTCTTTTCAAGTAAGCGGTGAAGTGTAGTGCTTTTTCGCAAATCAAAATTAGTTATTTCAAACTAGATTTTTCATCGTTGAAATGAGCTGTAGTTATTCTGTTATTATATCAGATTTCTGCATTAAATATGTGAATGACACCATCTCACTAGAATTCTGAGAGACTGTATCTATTTTTGAAGTCCTAAAATAGCGTAATAGTGGTGGCACTTGGCCATAACAACGTGGCTTTCAACATTTCTTCTGGATAGTTTTCTTGTAGATCCCAACCGGCAGCTTATATATTTCGCACTTCATTAATCAAATAAAACAGTGTGCTTTTATTAGATGCTTTCCAGTGGCTTTTTGACCAGGCATGTATACCAGTTGTCTGAATCTGTGCTTCCTATTGTACTAAACAGGATTATCATAGCGGTGGCCAGATTGTACTTCAATGATTATTGTACTCATTGGTAGGGTAACATTAACTTGTTTCACGGAGGTCAAGACATTCACCTGATGAATATAAACACCGAATATATTGTGAGTTTTAATGGTTATGATGTCTATTTCACAACTGCAGCTTTAAAATCTTTGAAAGCAACAACAGTCAAAAATTTGCACCTCATCTGAGACCTTATTATTAACCAGATATTCTTATTTGTTGTGGGGGAATTGCATATGCTGTGTGATGAAGCTATATAAACGGAAAGGTAGAGACTTAGGATTAAATATAGGGAATCGTTTTTGGTCTGTTGAGGTGTAATTTAGTCGAATTCAAGCAACATACTGACTTATGGGAGATAATTACAGTCCAAGGGTCACAGACCAAACGGCACTACTCAGTTTATTATTGTATGACCGTTATCCCAGTAATGCATAAAAATTTCTTAATTTTACTCTCTTCAGTACTTCTTTTCATAATTAAAAATACATTCGAAACCCTCATCATTTAAAGAAGCTAACTTGAGCCTCTAAAGTAGAAACTGAATTCTTTAAATACCGATGGTAGATCCTAGAAAATAATCTACGTTTTCAGTTAATTTTAACGTTCATTAAAATTTAATACGCTTAAATTTGTTAATACTTCTCATTCTATTAGCATAGGAGAATATATATTGTACAATTCAGTGATTGAATTAATATACTTCACTATAAAATATAATTATTCAGAAGTGGCACTTACTATTTGGATACATCGAAACTGCTTCATTTCATAAAAAGTAGAGAGTGGGATTATTATAACGAGATGCATTACATTTTTCTCAATAAACCAGAGGTTACTATCAAGTGAACTATCAATGTTAAAAATGTGTTATGGTTAGTGTGATATCAAGTAAAGGTTTTTTCTCTATAAAGTGCGATATCATTAGTGAATTTCTGTATCAAAATTTCTTAGTCATACAGTAATACTTTACAGTGCGGCCTTGGGTATGGATAGTACTCATACACATTCACTAATATTATAATTAGGAATATTTTTATGAATTTTTTCACGGTAAAGTTCTTACAATTCAAATTCGGATTTCATGGTTCATCTTTAGCCATTGGCGTTTAAAATGAATGCTTACACATTTCGAAAGTTTGATGTTGCCATTAGAGTTACAATTATGTTAAGTATGTGTCCAACTATTCTATTTTATAAGCATTATTTAGCACAGCATCTTATCCTCATTTCGAATGTAGATAGTTACTTATAGCGGACAATATCTTCAAAATAAGATTCTCATCTGAATGAAGTTAAACGTGTTCTTCATTTTTATCTTCATTTTGTAAACATTATACTACAGTGTACGTTAAATTCATTGCAAATGCATAAATCTTAAGGAAACGTTCAGAAATGAACATATAATCCAATTCATAGTATGTAAAACAGATGGGTTTAAAGAAATCTGAAAAACATATTACAGTGCTTGCTGGAATTATGATAAAGTTTAATTGGTGATCATTTCATTTTTAGTTTACAGTCTAGACGTTCATAGCAGATCACATTATTTCACTTCTTCAACCTACAAACCAAGTTCACACTCGTTGGTTCAAGTACGGTTGAGATAAGATTTTCCATCCTATTTGACGTTGCTGCTTGGTTAAAAATTGGAAAACTTACCCATTCCCTCCAGAAGTTTCCCTTTAATGTAAGTCGACACAAATGTAATTAATCTTAAAAACTTATTATTGAATCAGTAAATTCTGAATAGTGGAAGTAGTTTAAGGTTTTGACAGAAGAGTTATCAACCAACCTTTCTTTGCCACCCAGTACTTTTTATTCAAACAAGTGGATGTTTTGAATTGAGTGAGAAGTCAACAAGTGGATTTTTCATTTTGGACCACAATGACATCAAGAATGTTCTATTCGTGTAGACTAAACCTCACTTCATAATGCCGAAAGTCATTAGGAGATGACAATGAGAAGTGAAATTCTCCAAACAAGACAAACGCTTAGGTAGACTTGCAACACGAGCACATCGAAATAATTGGTCTCCTTTTTGCATAAACTGTAGCAGATTTTCGGAGGTTCTTTTGCGTCTGTACCAGCCAACCTCAAAATGAACCTTATTATTAGCTCACAATATGACTCAAGAATTCGTCTAGTGAAGAAAATTAACTGTACATTGTTGTTCTTGTGGGTTTATTAGTAAAATTTGACGAACTGTCTATATAAACCAGCAAAGACTAAGTGAACGTCATAGTTGTATTCAGGCTGTTTCTAAGATACACCATGTAAAATGTTATATTTTAGAAATCAGTCAGCTATCTAATGTATAGAGAGACAGTCTGCTTCACTGTTGCACTTAGATTTAGGGTTATCGGAGAGCTACAGCGTGTTCAGCTGTTTGAATTTAGCAGCGTAACTGTTAAATTATTAAATTATCCAGAATTATACCGTTCTGTCACAAGTTTAACTGGTGTCTTGATGTCAGAATTTCTTCGCACTTATAGGCTTTTAAGTCAGAAACAATAACAACTTGAGTATATCAAGTGTCATAAGATCTCAATTAATTCGCTTGTGGATTTATCCAGATTACTTTCAAGTATTATAACTTCATTACCTAATATATCAAATATTTTTGAACCAGTGTTAGCGCCAGTATTTTCATAAAATTTCCCAATCTTTTTAAAACAGCATTGATTTTGGCTGCGAGTCCGGTAACAGAGTGAATACTTATTAACTTTCTCACCCAGTGACTGAATACGCCAATCTACTTCACGAAATACAAACACTACTGATGTTATTCAATGACTCCAAGTGAAAAGAATTTTCTCATTCACTGTTCAAGAAAGTAGCAGAGTTCAATGCTCATTAAACATGGAGGTGTTGATTTAGTTTGGAAACTTTTGAAAAGACGAAAATTAGTCCTTACTTTGTTAGTATGTCCCTGTAAAGAAAAGATCAAAATATTTAGCAGCGTAATTTTTGGAGCGTGTTGTTAAAAGTGTTTTTGTTGAGTGGATAGCTTTAACAGAAATCATAATATGATACAACTCGTACTGTATGTCTCATAATGCCAAAGCGAATTAAATCTCAAAGACTGATTTTGTTTTGAATTTGTGTTGCAAGCTTCAAATAACTTTTTACATAAAATAAAAAGAAATTTATTTCAGAATGGAGTTAAAAGTGCTTAGTATTCATAGAGAACTTTACGCTGTACTGCGAAAAGCTATGCATAAAGGATCTTTGTATTTTTATTTGTTCTGTTCCAGAAAGTGTAGAATCAAATTAACTTTACTAGTGATACAAGTGTACTAAAACACTTAAGATAAATGTAACATTTAATTTTTAGTTGAGTGGCTAACAATGTTAGTGATAGTAACAGAGATTAGATTATATGACAGTCGATTGTAAATCGAGTTAGATGATTTTAATGCAGAAGTTTTGTTATCGCAACTGGTGTATGACATAATAACAAAAGTTTTTTGATCAAAAAGAAATTGTCTATCTCAGAATTCATCAGTTCTTGATTCATACGATGCATACGATCGGAATGCGATGTAAAAGCAGTGCTTAGCATATTGTGATCAGTGTGTGTAATAAATGAATACAGATTTTACAAACTGATTCATTTATTGTAAGCAGGGGAAAACATATGGCATTGATATGCAGCTCTGTCTGAAAGTGACTGGACTTTGGCGCTTCAGCTTACGCAGAGATATTGTTTCATATGTTGACTTCAATCCTCATGTTTCAAACAGGATATAAATCTTATGAAAACGCATTTGTCCCATTTTTACACTTTAGTTCTAGTACTGTAATACATCATTTGCTTTTACTAACAGATTTTATTCTTCCACCACTCCAGTTGGATGATGATTCCGAAAAAACTTATAATGCTATACCATGTAAAAGGCATTTGTGAAACATTTTTAACTAATATAACTCACGCCAAATGGTCACCAGATCCTCTACAAGAAAGTATATAAAAGGTTCACTGATTAAAATATATTTCAAACAAATTGAGCTTTCTTCGTGATCACGCTGCGCAAGTCTTACTAGAAAAGTCTGTCTTATAGGCTTTAGTAACTAAACCTTTGATCATTCTGCATGAAAACCGTTCAAGATAGTGTAGTTCACACTATGTTTAGGAATTTAATTTTTCCTGACAATCACCATCTTGAAAATAAGTGTTCTGATTCATCTGTCAGAGTGCATTCAACAAAACATTTCAAATTAATTCATTCTGAAAAATTATCTGTCACGCAACGCATCACTGCGTACCTCTGTGTTCAAAAGAATTTGATGATAAATTCAGCGTGGGCTAATTGCTTCTATCTGTTGACATTACACTGTTTAGTTATCCTAACTGCTTTGTGCATTATAACACTTAACATTGACATAGCAGTTTTATTTTGCAAAATTTTGCCCATTTCAAGCTTAATGAGGTTGGAAGAAAACCTTTAAAGTTTGAATGAATTCAAGTCAGTAAATACAATTCGTTTGACTTCATTGGCAACAAACTTTTTTGTATTTTCAAGCTTATCTGTATTAGCTGCAACAAATGTCAGATAAATTAGTATTTGTCTTATAGACAGAATGGATTATAAACTATTAAATTCTTGAATTTATCCACAGAATAGTAATTTGAACGTATTTTCGTTTTATTGACACTATTTTCTGATTGTATAGTTTATACAATCTACCGTATATTGTAGATGAAAAGTAAATTAACCGGATAGCTGTTTTATCCCAAAAATTGCTATTTTGATATATTGCTACTGGAACCTAGCTTTTATAACTTGATCTATTGCAAAAACGAACGTCTCCAGTGATTACAGAAAAAGTATAGTTGATTTAAAAATGCTAGTCGTCTTAATGTTATCCAGCTATTTATCATTTGTATAATACTATCCATTCCCAATGAAGTGATACATGATTGATAAAGGTTATCTTGCAAAATAATGCAGTGTAAGATACGTTATTGTCTAAGGTGTTCAAACAACTTACGTTTTAACCGTAACCTTTCTGTAAAAGACAAAAAGCATTCTTTACAATCTCATGGTAATAGTAGAAATATAAATAAAAGTTAAAATCAGAAATGTGAACATTTGTCTCAAATATTTATGTTTACAAAGAAGTGTTGCTGGTGTCAAAATTTGGAAGCCAATGCATGGATGAGAGTTAGAAATATTGGGACAGTCGTATTTACTACAGAAAGAAGTGTCTTGTTTTGTCATGGAATCCGATCATATGACATCGAATTGCTGATATTAAGCAGTATGTAACGGACGGACATTAGAATTAATGGCACCCGAAAATCTGTGTCGCCTATAAAGCAAAACACAGCAGGTGATCACTTTAAATAATGGCTGAAACATAAGTGGTCAGTCTGAAATGTGTTAAGGAGTTTTAAATCCTCTCAATCTGACGAAAATCAGTGAGACATAAATATTTCCGTAAATGAAATGAAATTTGTGCCAAAGATGCCACGTATTCCGGTGATGAGAAGTCCACGACCGAACGTCATGGTTTGAGGTCCATCGAGTAAGTATGTATGTTTTTACAATGCATTAGGCAGTTGATTTCCCCTTTTTTGGCACGCTTTCTAAAGTTTTTTCCAGAATTTATCACCTTTGTGTTGTTTAGTGAGAAACATAGAGCTTTAAGCTTTCTAAATCTCAGTAGTTGTGGCGTTAGCTTTTACGGGGGTGAAGTTGCTAGTTCCAAGCCTAACTTTCCCTCGTTTTGCACGCCAACTATTAACTAGTAAAGTAGGTGAGGTTTATGGATGCGTCGACCGTAGATCTACCTTGGACCACTTGGAAAGAAGCACATTTTTAAAAAAGGTGTATTAACTACCAGAAACGAAACTCATTTACAGAGAAAACAACATATGAGTGCACGTGAAATGTGGCCACATAGTGGGTACTGGGAGTAGTCAAAAATGTCACTGGAGTGCAACATATCGTCCATCATCAATCTAAATGGAAACTTAATTTTCTTTCATTATCTTAATTTCTATAAAACAGGTAATGGAGTAATGTAATTTTGTGAACCCATCATTTGATATAGTGATATGTGTTTTGATACTTCCGATCAACTTACACTTTTCTAAACAAAGAAACGGATATAAATATGTTTGACTATTGACATTTTTTTCAAAGTTTTAGGAAAAACTATTCAATTCTTGAATACACAGCAGTACGATTCCGCAAATTTAACTAGTATTCCTGTACATGCTTGATTGATGCACTTGATTTTTTAGATACTTTGCAGCTGAGATTACTCATTCTTCCCTATATTGAATTCAGACTAAGTTATTTTCTGGTTCAAATAATGTATTGTAATCATTCATGCAGCTACATTTCATTTAGACATTTGTAGATTACTCATTTACTGATAATGATTCACAGAGTATCACTGAAATATTTGTTGTGGTCTACATTCATCGACATCAAAGTGATTGAATTTAAATACCACCGGTACTTCAGACTGCGTAGTAAATAAAACCAACAAACCACATCTACCTTAGATTTCTCACAAAATTCACTTAGTTTTCTCCTGCTGCCATAAGTAATGTGAATCGAAAAGAACAGTAGGAAGTGTTTTTCCTGTTTTGTAGACTTTGATCTTTAAAGTGTAAAATGCTTTATCCGACAAGTTAACTGAAAATGAACCGCCCAAGAGAATACTTACTGTCCTTCCCTGAAGTAGAATAATTATTATGTTTTGCATTACAGCTATTAGATTTTCCATGACAATATCATACAGCCTGAAATTTGCATTTTTCAGCATCTGTTGAAATTTCACAGTAAGCTCTTCTGTTCACGAAAAATACTCATTAGCATATCAAAGAAAAAAAGTGAGGAGTTGAGTGAAGATGTCGTTTCAGTGATTTTTGATATCCTTGCTGAATTTCTTGATTTCTCTTTTATTCTTTTATTCTAACATACACAACAGCACTACTGAAGTAGTACCATGCCTTGTAGGATGTCTTTTTGTATATTGCATACTCAAATCATTGGAGTAAGTGTCAAATTGAAATTCTAGGAGAACACAAACTGTGAGTAATCACATAAAGGTCACCTTCATCTTATTACATTTTCACGAAATAGCCCCTTGACAGACTCGAAACTTATGATAAATCAGTTTAATATGGAACACGGTTTCAGAATATCAACCTCTGAATGAACTTCTAATTGTAAGTCACTAATTATTATCATATCAATAATCTCTTATAATATTCTAGATTTTTTATTGCATTTTTTGTTCTGCTTGGTGAAGCCAATGAACAAGAAAAAAGATCATCAGAATGTACCTATATTCCTCAGTGAGTAATGGTGTTCCCACAGAAACTCTGATCCAGTACCCATCATTGCAAACACCACAGTGTTGTCCACCAAACTACTTGGGCCATGAGATCCACCTCTTGTGCAACGGTTATCAGTTATCATTAGTTTTTAATTCAATTTTCCTGTTGATTGATTGGACCCAAGATGTTCGGCGAATGTTGACATGTCGGCTCCCAACCAGTATAGAGGCTTCAGTGATGTCTGAGGAATAATTTGAAGTAGTTTGATGAATGGTAACATGTCAGCAGAGGCCAAATGAACATTTCAGTTCAACCAATCAATGGGAAAATCAAAAGTGAATTGAAAACAAATAACAACTTGAAATTATACTTAGAAGTTTTTGTTGTATCATTATATGGACAAGAAGATTGTGTAACTATGTGACACATTGCTTCATACATATGAAACGTATATGCTGATTTATTATAGATGAACAGTAACTTTCACATTCCATGGCATTTTATATGTTTACCAAAGGTAAGTACACTTACCCAATACCTGTGGAGATTTTCCTAAATGAATACATCGAAAAAATCAAATGTCTTTTGGTTCCCCGTATTAAAAATTTCAAACTTCAATATGAATTTATGATGGTTAGGAGGTAGACTTTGAAATTGGATCGCAGTAGTATCCGAACCAGCATGATTCGGAATATTAGCTCGATGTTTTACTAAATGAGCTACAAGACATGGTTGACAGCTGTGTTGGTTTCTGTCCTACAGAGACCCAGGTTCAAATTAACCTTCAAATTCTCAGAAATAATTTAATGTAATTATCTCTTAGTCAAATGATTAAACTAACTGAAAAGTTCAAATCAGGATTTTTTACAGTTGAATTTCTTCCTTTGAAAAGACAGGTCAGTGTAAAGAGAACTATTTTCATATGACTCATTTACATAGGGATTTTAATTAAGCATAATTATTGAAAACTTTGTGAAAGTTTTTCATTTTACGTTTGACCACATTTACTTACAGAGGAGTAATACAAACGTTTCTAAAACATAACCAAACAATACAAAGCATTAGTTTTACTTATAGTTTGTAAATCTCTGAATATCCAGAGAACACCATCATATCTGTTAAGACGACAAATATCTATATTCATAGTAATAACTATTGCTGAATTATTACACTAGTTAGGATAAATAACAACGAGAAAGATTATTTTGAGAAAAATGCTTTAATAAGTGCAAGTGAGAGAAATTCTATTATAAATAAATAGTGTTTAACGAAAGTTATCATATTGCCTTAAGAAAGGTTTGTTGTTGGATGTCTTCGGGAAACCAACCATAAATGATGGAAATTATTTTTTACATTAAAACAACAAGTAGAATTATGCAGCTCATGTTTCCAGGATTGCCGTTAAATTGTTTCCACTATTCTGGTTCACACGTAAGTTCTTTTTTCTGTTCATGTAAATATTTATCATTTATTTCCTCAGCCTCTGTAATGTACATGTGAGATAAAACAAAACTTCGTTGTATTCATTGCAGTCACTGATACTGCCTCTCACCATCTTGGTCACTCTTCACTCAATAGCAAGTACAGATTTCTCTAATGGGAGTGCTATATTTAAAATATCATACATGTAACTCTCTGCATTTTGACATCACCACATAAAATAACTAAAGTTAAACTACTTTCCTCAAAGCATAGTTATTAATTACTCACCTGTGTGATGGGATAATTTTTTCCCTGTTTCATTAGGCAATTTTTATAAAAAACGATAGGCAATTAATATTTAAATTATCAACATCAACGTATTATGCTTAGCTGTTATGACAACTGTAAAGTAAAAAGCTTGAAATACATGTCTACTTTCGTCTAATGACTGCATAAACAACAGTTATATTTAGTTTCAATGACTTAAATAGACTTACATGCTTTTCTGTAGATCCCAACTACAAAATGAGAATTCCAAAAACATAAATCATTATTAAATTCAATCTATACGAGTACTTTTTGATAGCTTCAGGGAGTAAAATATCGTCTGAAATGGTATACTCAATGTACATAATGTCTGAATATGTGATGCTAAACTTGATAATGTATGTGTAAAACTTGAACACTGTGGTAGTATGTAATTCCATATTAGTGTGTTTATTGGATTTACGACACAGTGAAACAGTATTACATCCTGGATAACATTTCCAACACAACTGATTGTTTATAATCATATCAGTTGTAAGTACACAACTTCAAATCTCAAGTTTTTCTCACTTCTTTTCGTTCTTTCCATTTTTTCATTGGGAGGATAGAATTTACCATGTCTCTGAGACATTTCTACTTCATGTGCTGCAAGGCGATTCGACGAATAAGGCTTCAGTTATCAATCTCTCACACCATCATGTCATAATAAATTTTGAAACTGTCAGTTTTTCCATCTTATTGTACATTTGTGTGTAACTGTATTTAAAGATACAGCTGAAGTTTATTTTCTGAATTTTTATTTCATTAGGGTCCAGTATTCTAAATTTTTCAAAGCTTTTAAGCTGCGCTAATCTATTTGAACCTAGCTTACTACTATGTCCTGTGTATTCGACTTTACAGCCATTGCAGGATATGAGATGGACTAAATTATTTTGTTTAATTGGTTTCACGTGATCCTTTATATGACATAATTTGTTTTTAAGTGAGTCGGTGGGTTAAAATGTCACTTTTATTCTTAATTAATTTAGAATCCTTCGTACGATTTCCAAGGTCGTCTCTTTGTATGGCAGGACTATTGGTGTTCTAAATTCCTTATAGTTGGTTTTGTCATCTTTCTGTGTATTCACCTAAAAGGATGACCATAATAGGATCTGTGGAAATAATTCATACTTAAAACTGTTGTTTCACATAAATTTTATTTTACTGAGGGAATTTCAGAAATGCAGTTTATTTAAAGTTGCTTTGTGTTAATAATAATATCTCTGTTGCATAGTTTTAAGAATTTTAATAATTCAAGAATTCGCTTTCATATGAAATATATCATAAAAGCTTACTAGCCTCCTAATAAATGTTTTCTGTTAATACAAGCATTGTTTAAATAATTAAATAAGCATATATTACTTTCATACATTAAGAAAATAAGCATATGCATTCGTCAATAGGATAGTTACCAATTATCTGGTTTTGCATAGCTGTGTAGGTGTGATGAAGTGACATAAATAAATCCATGTTCAGCGTTATAAGGATTTCACTTAACTGATTTACTTTGAACACTTGAAATCCTACTATTTTTATTTCTTTGAATGCCAGTTAACCACTCACCAGTTACATGGCTCAGTAAATTCATTTCCTGAGTAACCAGTAGCAAACTCAATAAATTTAACCTGTGATTCTCTGTTAAGCTTCTTTAATTTATCCCTTCACAAGTTTATCAAAATGACAGTAATCCCTTAAGCTAAAAGAAACACTTCGTAAATATAAGAGACATATTTTCAAACTGTTCTACTTGGCTTTAAAAGTGAAATGTTAAATACAACCATGAAAACTCAGAAATCTGCCTGGTTGTTAAATTCCATGTCTGCATGATAACAAAACATGTTTCAGCATTTCAAAAGTATGATGAACAATCAGACTGCAGCTTAGTGAATTGAAATACAAAAGAAGTAAGTTATACTGAGTTTTAGGCTCATGTCATGATAATACCCGGAAATTTCACTTACAGTTGTTCAGGCACATGTCCATCCCTAGGAAGTAGTCGAAAATTGTTTCATTTAGTTACATAATTGACTAGTTTATCAGAGATTCACTTGTTAATATTTAATATACATAACTGAATTGTTAATTCAAACTTCTGATGATAGTATGAGACAGTTATAAACCAACACATAATGAAAGAAATAAACTGTAAGAAATATACGGGAATACTTTTTGGTATCTTTATTTTAAAAAGGTTTATATGCATAGCGCTTGGATTCAGCATAAGAATTCCATGCGAAGGTAAAATATAGCGTTTTATCACTAGAAAAGTGCTTTTATGAATCTATAAACTCCCTAGTAAATTTATTTTGAATACTAAATGTAGGATTAAATTATTATATTTAAGTAACTTACTTTGTCAAGTTTTGTCTAGAATATGACACAATAAAGCAAGTATTATTCTCTCTTCGTTTTCAAGACGAGTTGACAGTATATATTTATAATGTCGATTCCATTGAAATATGCTGAAACAATACTTCTATCGTTAAAGTAATAGAAAGGTGTTAAACTTAAATAAGAGATTCCCAAGTCAGATATTACAACATGGTGGCATTTCGTATTTTATCTACAGTCGCATTAAAATAAGCATGCTTGACAGTAGTAAAGATTAGATCACGGACCGATATCAGTACTAGGACTATTGAAAATCAGAGAGTACTGAAAAACTGTTTTGTCCTAATTTGGGACTCATCGGCACTACTCAATCACTGGGATTCAAGCCGAAAATCTTCTGGTTACAAGGCACGGCCGTAGACCATTCAGTCACTGGGAACCGACTCGATGGATCTTGAATTTTAACTTCTACCCATTCGTGATTTTCTCCTGACCACCAACCTGGAGTTCTAGTGAGAAGTCATGACCAGTGGAGTCCACTCGGTCGGAAGTGGGGACGAATACTCGCCGATGAAATTGGCTGGTGTTAGAATTCACGGGCCATTGAGTTGTGTCCCAGCGGATTAGTGGCCTACGGTCCTGCCTTGTAACCAGAAGGTTCTGGTCTTGAGTCCCAGTGAATGCGTACTGCCGGTGAGTCCCAAACTAGGACGAAACAGCTGTCCAGTGCGTTTTGGTTTTCAGTGGTTCTTTAAATGCAACCAATCTGTGATCAAAAGTGAAACAAATCAATCCTTACAATAGAGATGTTCGACAATTAATTAATCCTATGAAATGAATGACCGATCGCCTTCTAGTAGGTTAAATAGTTCAGAGTAAGAAAAGGCTGAAATCTGTTATTTTCTCTATGCCTTATTTGGAATGTATTTGATTAATTGAAATCGTTGCCAATCACTTTTAAAAATATATCGCAGTGGACAATGATGAACTTCTGTTCAGATTAAATTTACTCAGGTTTTCTGTAACTTAGTAACCCCTTAATACGATATTAGAACATTATTTTGGCTTTACTGATATATATTCCTCCGCAACTACAAGTGGACCTTTACATACAATGTGAAGTAGAATCGGAAGCATTTATTTCCTGATACGAATTTAAAACAAGCAACAAAGGTTAATAAAGCAGGATTTAGTGAATTCATCAAATTTCGGTAGAAGTTCTCAGATGAATATTCTAAATACAGGGTAAATATACTACTGAAATTACATTGGGAGATTTGAGATTGATAAGCAAATTAACCACATTGAATTAATCATGCAAAACGACACGTGTGAATGTTTTTCAGGTCATGTTCAAGTAGATAAGGGAAAGGGAGTATAAAAGATTAAAATTATGATAAAATGCATTACGCCTCAATTTCATCGCTGAGATAAACATTTAGTCATTCGAGAAAGAACTTAAATATATCAGGAATTCTGAACCGAGTAATATTAATAGTAAGAGTTATAACAATTATGTTGAAACGAGTTAAGATAATGCTACTGATAGAAGATAGTTTTAAATGAATCAGGAGTGATTGTGATAATAATAAGAGGTGGAATAAAGTGTTAATAATACTAAAGATAATAATAACAACAGTTTATAAGCAAAACGAATTACCACCGTAGATTCACAGTGACTATCATTTCCTTTTGTTTGATTTATAAACTCGAATTGCACAAGCCTCCCCAGTTGCAAGCATCTTACTGTTTCTTTGTCTGCTGAAAACGGTGACAGACGTGACAGCGTTGATATCATATCCGTAGTCCACAAGGTGCTTTGTTATTGAGCTTTCTGGCACTTTGAATTGAGCTGTTTTTAACCACTTTGGCAAATGCTCCATCATGCGAGTAGACAATCACCTTTCTGTACGACCTATGTATTTACTTCCACAAACACACTCAAAATGATATACGCCGTTTTAAATGTCATGGACTGGCGGCTGGTCTTTCCCAGATTGTTGAAACACTCACTTGGTGGTGTTAAGGAAGACAGGTTTTGCAGCATAATAAGTTCTCTTGATAGCTTTATCGAGTCTTCGTTTGACTACCTCTTGTACATCATCTCATTTGAATGGCAAATTGATATTGACAGATTTTTTAGAACTGTTTGGATAGTTTTGCTGGGACTCGTTTCCTTAGGGTATTTATCAATGAACTTCTCAGGATATTCATTTTTAGATAAAACATCCTTCAGAACCTTTATTTCATGCTCTATTGAACAGTGTTCTGACTGTTCCTTTTATGCTGGATTGGAACAAAGCTCTTAAAATTTATGTACTGTTCTGTGAATGAAGACTTTCTAAATATAGATCTTTAGATTGTGCCATCATTCCTTTTCACTAGAGAAACATTTAGAAATTTAATAGTACCATTTTCTTCGTGTTCTCTTGTGAAGCTGAGATTTGGATGTCATGAGTTGAATTTTATCAACAGGTTTTCAGCTTTCGATCTGCTTTCACAGACAATAAAAATATCACCAAAATATATCAGGTATATATCCGTTTGTTGTATAGATTGTTGCAAAATACCAACTTTTAGGCCTGACAGGAATAAGTCTGCAAAAAGTGGTCCTAAGAGGCTTCCAGCTGTGACATCATCAACTTGATGGAATAGACGCTCATCAAATTTCCTCAATTGCGATGTTTGAATGGGTATATCTTCAGCTTCTCTACATATAAAGTCGATAGTCTCAACGACTGGCACATTTGTGAAGAGGGAAGTGGTATCGAAGTAGAATCCGTAGAATTTTTCCTTTTATTCATAGACACAGAAAAAGGAAATGTTCGAGAGATTAGAAAAAGGATAATGCGTAGAATGTGTGCTTCAAAGTTGGCAGAAACTTTGCAGTTATCATTTGCATGGCATATATTTTATATATTATTATATTTTATTTAATTATTTTTAATTTTTTATTTAATTTTATTTATTGAATTTATTTATTTATTTCATTATATTTTATTAAAGATAGTTTTCTTTGCTACAGAATGCAATAGGACTCAACTTTTGCCTACCTTGAACTAATTGACCTATTTAAGCGTTACTGCTCATTAATATGTCGTTTAACTTCATACGATTAACTAATTGTCAAACGTTTTTATTATTGTCATTCATGCTAGTTGTAACACAACTGTGGAAAAACTACGGAATTACATCATGCCTCAGTATCTCTCTACAAAATCCTTATTAAAATCTGTCAAAAGGACTAAATATTTCTATTTTCTCAAAACGAAGACTTTCAAGTTTTATTTTATCTCAATTTCTATTAGTGCAGTTTTATTTGTTAAAGGGATTTATATTACTCAATCAAATAATCATGATACAAGATGAAGAGCTTTCCCCGGTAGATTAATGTCATAATTTTGCACATTTTTAAGATACGAAAGGCATCAACTTGCCGATAATAGAATAGTCAATTGTAGTAATGGTCATATTAGCCAATTTTTATGAACAAAACTCTGTTTCTTCTGATACTTTCTAAAATTAAGTTTTACATTTTCATATTTCCATCGACCGAAAAGACAAAGAGAGTTCAAACTCAGAATGACCAGATACATGCATTAGGTCTTATATTATTATTTTAGATATGATGACATTGAAGCAGTTAACTAAAATATTCACACTTCAAGGGAATTTATGTTCAGATGATACAGAGATTTAGAGAAGATACACAATAAGTTCACTGTTTTTGAACTTATTGTCAGCATACTTTAGTGATGCGTTCTCAGACTCTTAATTCATTACTACATGATCTTCGAAACAAGTACTCCCAGGTTTTCCAATGGTTCTCTAACCAATGTCAGCTCATGATGAAATCCTGTAATCAATCAACCAAATCCCTACAAACCAATAGTTGGAGTAATTTAATAGTCAAAAAGTAAACGTAGATTTTCTCTTCTTCATGTGACACTGAGCATAAATTCTTATGATAAGCTTGTTAGTTGATAAATTCTACAATTGTCAACAAACTTACATTGCCCAAAAAGTGGTGTTCCTATTTTGAAAAATCAGATAACATACAAAGTGTCATGTACTTTGAATTATTATCTCATGAAAAGATAATCAAACTTTATTTTAAGCAATATTAAAACAAATAGTTGACAGTTAATGCACCAAGTTTATGGTGCTTCTAAATTTGTGAATCAACCTGAAATTCATAGAAAACTGTTGAAAATCTCCTTAAAATAAATTCATTACGAAGATGTGAGATAAAATTTTTGCTTTTAATTTGATGATATCAGATAATTGGAGGCAATCCGGCAGGTTCAAATCTCAGAAGGGACATGAGTTCCTTCAAGGTTGCAGATACGCCTTGCTGACGAGTGCCAACTTGCACGAAACCTAGGTTTAAGGCTTCCTGTTGCCGATTGCCTCTAACTATCTAATATCATCAAATCAATGTGCACCGTGATGGCGAGCTACCTAGAATGGTGGCCACATTGCAAACTTGACTGATAGAATTCAGTCTGCACCAAGGAAAGTAGTAGACACGTCACACTAGTTACTGGTGTCCAAACAAAAATATTCCTTTTACTATTTGATAGTGGAAACCTTTGATATTGCATATGCAGAAAACTATATATAATTACGGATGTATGAGCTGTTGAAAGGTAGTCTGAAAGCTCACTTCTGAGTTTTAATATTTATCTAATATACCTTCAAGACAGTTGCACCAATCTCATATTTTCTCTGGTGTAATGTTGCTTAAAAATATGACATCCAAATGAAATTTCCAGCTTCACAACTAAGTTTTTTCTTTTACATCAGAAATGGAAATGATTTATAATGTGGAAAACATTAAAGGTGTGATATTTGCAATAGGGTTAAACACATCACATGCAAGTTGATAATATGTGGATATACAAATCACTTGCCTAATATTTAGTCTATACAGAAAACTGCTCTTTCTGATGAATGATATTCAGTGTGCGATAAAATAAATAAATATACTATTCTGGCAACACACTATCTATCAATAATGGAATATATGCAGGATTTCGAATAAATCCTTTCATCATTGAGTTTGTTCACTATGCCACCAACTTCGGATAAGCCAGTGAATTGATATTCACAAAGTCTTGCAAATATTTTTAAAAATTCTTGTCAAATTAAATAAAGACTTACAAATAATCCGCCATTCCGGCCCTATTTTACATAAATGAAAAAGAAAATAATGTATTGGCACACATCTGAATAATGAAAAACTGAAAGTACTAAATTCCATTTGTAATAAAATAAATAAATAAACACTTCAACAGTAAGGAAGGCACCCATTGATTCGAAGAAAGGTTACCTCGTCAAGCTAGACAAGAAGGGCAACTCAGGCCTCTTCAAAAACTTGTGCGGAATCATGAACTTGTCCACGCTAATTGAATTACTAAGTCGCGTCATTCTGAAGAGAATAAAAGATGCACTGGATACAGAACTCCGCCCTAATGGAACAAGCTGTCTGGATTCAGGAAAGGCGAATCATGTGCTGATCGAACTGCAATTCTACGCATAGTCATCTCAGAACAAAGCATAGAATGGCAGTCGAACCTCTGCGTCAACCTCATCGACTTTCAAAGGGCCTTCGACAGTGTTGACAGAGAAGTAATTTGGAAACTGCTTCAACACTATGGCATGCAGTGCCCATACCTTTGTCAACCTCATTCAACCGTTGGCTAAATGACAGCGCCACTTGTCAGGTGATTCGCAACGGGAAACTCAGTGAGGCATTTGAAGCGAATGTGGAAGTAACACAAAACCCTGTATTATCACCGATGATATACCTGACTGTGGTGGACTCAATTATGCAGCAGACTGTGGCGAGCGAGGAGACAGGAATACGCTGGATGACCGATAAGAAGACTCTAGAAGATCTGGATTTCGCAGGTGATTTGTGTTCAATGTCACACAGACTCGAAGACTTGCAGGCGAAAACCAACAAACTGGCAGAAGAAGCAGGTAGCAAAGACAGGACTGCAGGTGAACATAAAGAACAGCAGCAACAACAATCAGCACCAATCAGCATCGATGGGAGAGATTTAACAGAGGTTACTTCCCTCATTTATTTAGGAAGCATCGTTTCAACTACAGGTGGAACGGATGAAGATGTCAACACCAGTCAGAACTGGAAAGACGAAATACGTCTTCGTCAACCTGAAACCAGTCTGCTGTCAGTCAGCATAAAGAACAAGATTCAGATTTCCAATACAAGTGTGAAGTATATTCTTATATATGGGTTAGAAACTTGGTCAGAGAGTCAGTAAAAGGATTCCTAACAGGTTGCAAACGTTCATCAACAACTCTGCCCTCTCCACGTTGATGACCAGATGGCTGGCAAGAAGGAATTAGCAAAAAGAAACTGTGGGAACGAACCAACGAAGAAAATATTGTCCAACAAACATTCCGAAGGAAATGGAGATAGATTTGGCACACTCTGAGGAGACCATTGGCTGATATGGCGCGCCAGGCCAGCTGCTCAATTGGAACCCGAATGGGAAAATGATGAGTGGGTCTTCCGAGGTTTACATGGAGATCTTATGAGGAGGAGGTGAGACACTATGGGCAATATGGGGCCAACTTGAGAGGACTGCAGGGAACAGGACAAAATCGAAATATGCTGTTAAAAACATGTTCCACTCAAACCTAAGGAAACAGTTATAATAAATAACAATCTCCACCTTTATCTGTTCGCAAATTTCATAAATAAAGTAATTACCTTGTACATTTCCTATTCTATACACGCTTAAATCATTTGTGAATATAGTTTTAATTCATCTAAATAATTACAAGACAGTCAAAGAGCCATGATAATTGACGTAATTTGGGGACATTTGAAGTAAACTTACAAATAAACATCCGGGAATGTATAGCTTGAAATCAAAATACATTATTTTAATTGAAAAGTGGTGGTATATTCTCTTTTGACTACACTATGACCGACTTAAGAAAATAACTAAATATTTAACATATCTCACACCATCATTTCCTTTTTTATAATATTAGGGTTTTATTATTATTCGAATTTTAGAAAGACTGCGTTAGTTCTCATTTAAAAGTATGCACTTGTTCTAATTAGTGGAAGATAATGACGTAAATAGTAAGTCTGATAAATTGCATTGTATATTTTACAGTAATATATATTCCTAACATCTTGAATGGAGATGTTTCCAATTGTGATTATAAATCTGAAGATACAGAAACGTGTTCAGTTGGTCAATAACCGGCTTTAATTATCTGTCCTTAAAATGCATAGTATGACAATTGTTTTTTTCGAGTCGATTATTCTGTGACTGAATATTGACATGGTGAAGATAATTTCAACTATTAGCCCGGAAAATGATACATCAACTCTGAAAAAGGCGGTTTTAAAAAGATTACCAACAATATTATGTATCAGAAGCTACATATTAACCATTTATAACCAGATTACTTTACTCAGAAACAGTCACTAAGTCCACTTACTTATCCGGTACACGGCAACTGCAAATATTTAATTTTAATGAATTTCTGATGTATAACTGCTGAGAGAAGTGAATCATTTAGTGGAAGATCTAAATTGAATTAAATAACTGATAAGATCCATTGCAGAAGAGGTGGCTGTCGTGGTCCAAGTGGTCTGTCTAGTGGATAACGCGTTGGCGTTTGAAACTACGGGCACTGGGTTTGAGCCTCGTTGGGAATGCAGGTACATCCAGGTGACGAATCCGAAATAGGACGAAATGCACATCCTGGATTCCACCACTAGTCACCAACCAGCAATCGACTACCTAAGGTAGTCACTAGATTTAATATACCGTGTTAGCTGTAAGCAAACTAACAGTGAATAAAGCATATACTCAAATACCTGGAAGACACCAGACTTCCGGCTCACTAGAAAAGATGCATATTCTGATAATCATTCTTTCATCCATTTTAATCTCTTCACTCTGCATTATATTTCAGTTGGTTGGCACAACTGAATGCTCTTATTAACCTGTCACAATCGATAGAATGCTAAAGTAAGTTAGCTACTTAACCCTTTTAACTCAACAAACTACTCTAGAGATGTCCACTGGCTATTTGTTTTAATTTTCATAAAATAATTCCTAACACAAGAATCTTTATCTATTGACATGTAGATTACAATCAGTGTATAAAATGGTATGAATCGGAAAACATTCTGCTTACTTATTAGCATCAGGTGGTCTGTTATTTCAAGAAATTTATCAGAGTTTGAGTTAGTTAAATCGGTGAAATTTTAGTAATAACTGTTTAATTTATTCACCAGTTATTACTAAACACTGGTTTTAATTTATCTTGACCAAATTACTGAAGTCCAGTAAACTTAGTTAAAAATTCTTAATAATCAACAGATTTCTTCGTTGTAATATTGACCATCAGATATCTCTAAATGAATATTCCCTTAGATGAAAATAAAATTTGTCCACCAGGAATTTGATTTATTTATCGTTAAAGTCTTCATTAAGCACTAAATGCATTATTGTGTGTGTGTATGGTTCAGCGGTAGAGTGCTGATCAACCATGCACCTGGTCCGAGGTTCGAGTCCCGGCGGGCACACACCTTTACCTCCCTTAGCTGGTTATAATCCTGACAAAGAGGGAATGTTGGGCATGAGGCTAGCAACCCCACCCCACAAAAAGTATCACTGCTACTGAAACTTCAAAACTCTAGCTTGAAACTCCATGTTCCACTATGAACGCAAAGGAATAAAATAATGTAATAAAATTAATAAACGCATTTTTATCAAGAGGAAATCTGTCCAGTGTGGTATGACCTTGTTCTAAATTAAACGCTTAGTGAACAGGTATAAATTGATAAAACATGAATAATTTAATGATGTTTATATCATATCATGTTATAGCTTATTCTGTCAATTCACTGAAAAATATATAGATACCATATATCATTTAATTCGGAGATTAAGGCAGACAAAGGAAAGTATATTGACAACCAGTTGCTTTAGCGATGTCATTACTGAAAGTGGATATACAATGAAAAGTATTCAGCACTGATTCTTTTTCAGCAATTTAAAATTATTTGTAGATTTTTGATTTAAATGCATTTTTATGTGTAAAATATTCTGTCAATTCAGGCTTAGAAGACATGCTTATTGTATACAGGTTTCCAATCTACATTAATATTGGTACCGAGTTTGGAGGAAGGTTTATTAGAATTCATTGGCAGAAAACGTTATTCTAAATTGTTATGTTGTGACCAACATTCAATGACTGTGTATACGATGTGGTTACAAGTTATAGCGGTAAGTGACAGTTTCTTGTGTACTATCAATTAATTGCAATAATTGATATTTATTTATCGTGTTTAGCTATGGAAAGAGATTAGGAAAATGTAGAATTTCTTGATATGAATAGCTAAATCAAGGACAATATTTATAGAGCTAAAGCTACGAGCCTAGAGTAGGCAAAGTGAACTTTAGGAAAACTTGTATTTAGACGAGTGTCTAGGGGCTGATTTTGAACTCAACCATACCCTAATTAGCTCGTGTTCTGTGCGATAAAGAAAGCATTAGGCGTGACACCTATAACTCATTAAATAGTCAGTAGAACAACTGGACCTCGTCTTTCCAACTCATATCATTTATAGGTGCAAATTTTTCTTTCTTTCTTTTCCTTTTCTCTCTCTCTTTTTCTGTTATGTGCTGCATTATTTCCTTCTCCCGCTTACACCAGTAAATATGATAGCACCTACTTTTCTAACACCTTCAAACACTGTTCAACTTTGGCTTTGCTACCGACATGCCAATATGTTGTTGTCATAATGAACTGAGATTTCCTTAATCTATGTAGAATTTCATTTACTGATAATGTACTAACTGGATGAAATACTGTAGTAAAAATGCTAAGAATTCCATTCTGTATCACATGTACTGTTTTGGAATAAAGCAAATTATTATTATTATTAATAAAAAACTAGAAAGTGAATTACTCAAAGGAGATGTATATTTAGTGAAATGTTGTTTACGTACTGAGATAATTTAAACATTTTATTTCAACTTATCGGTAAAAATACGCAACTTTCTTTAATACATGTTACATTAAGTGTATAATAATGAACTATGGATACACAAACTGTTTACTTACTTGGGAACATTCATTACGTTGTTGCTGTAAATGGTGAAAATAGTTGATCATAGCTTTACTTCCTAAGTCAATAATATGTCTGTTTTAATGGTGACATTTTTACTTTGTGATGACAGCTTTTGTATATATAATCTATTTCAGATAGGTTATTTTTGTCCAGAACTCGGTTGCTTTCAGTCTAAAAGTTGTGTGAAATTGGCTGGCAGGTTGGCTAAACTAACGCTGAAAACAGTATGTGAGAATCAGTGATCTTTGGGTAATAATCACCCACATAAACATTGGTAAAAAGATTTATGAGTAGAAAATTTTTATACTAGTTTTCTGATGTTTTACTAATAATTTTTAAAAATCTATGTTTCGACAAAATGAGCAAAATTGTTATGAGTTAGAGAGAGACTGTTATCTTCATGTACATCAACAAAAAGCTAAAAATGGCAGTACTAAAACAACTAAAAGGTAAATAGCGTCTAGTTTTATTACAACTTTATCAACAAAATATCCTTAGAAGGTGATTGAGAAATTAATTTCTAGTACTCCTGAAATGAACTGAAAACGTAGATACAATCATCATTATAATACTTTAAAACTTACTGTGCTGGATGTTTTGGAATGCTAAAAATTTTCAATAACTTTAAAATAGTTTAAGCCAGTAAAACATAAAAATCTGCAATGCATGGAGGCGCCTTTAATATAATTGTGTCAGTTGAAATGAGAAATAATCATGTCAATGCACAAGTAAATACCTTTATATTTTTTACAGTATAACTTACTCTCCTCCAAAGAAACCGAATCTTTTAGAGAAAAAAATATGACACGTAGTGTATAATTAGCAATGTCTACCTTTCGAAGCTTATCAGAAATACCCGTTTTAAAATGTATGTATATATATATACAGTAGGTTGAAGGTGAGGCAGTAACTCATCAAAGAAGACATTGCCTAATGGTCGCTCTATATCGCGAATAGGGAGAAGTTAGAATTCATGGGCCATTGGATCGGGTTCTAGTGGCTCAATGGTCTACGCGCTCGCTAGCCTTGTAGCCAGAAGGTCCTGACTTCGACCCCCGGTGGATGCGTACTGATGAAGAGTTCCAAACTAGGACGGAGGAAACAGCTGTCCACTACTCCCAGGTTTTCCAGTGGTTCTCTAACTGATGTCAGCTCATGATGAAATCCTTCATTCAATCAAACAAAATCCCTACAAAACCAATACTTGATATTTATATAAATGTATATATATATATATAAAATTGTGTAAATACTTTAACTATGTTCCCCCAGTTGCAATTATGTAATCTACCTTTCACATGTTAAAACCACTCCATGAAGTCATATACAAGTGACCAAAACTGGTCTTTATAAAATAACTCAGGTCATATTTTGTGATTTCACCTTTACTGCATAAAATATGATCACTGTATTAGAAACATTTTCTAGACGTTAGAACAACACAAGGATATTGCATAATCAGGTATGTGGACTTTGAAAAATTGCTTGTACAACAATTATTTGTTCATTATGGTGGTTTAAACATATTATTGTATCATGAATCAGGCAAACTCATGATCACCTCACCTTGTCTGTAGTACAACACACCTGAAATGGAGACATTTTGAAAAGCATTTTCAAGAATATAAATTTATTCGTTTAAATATATATTCAAACTAATAAAGTTTATATTACACACAAAGCAAACATTTAGTTGGATAATTTATTAAAAACTGAAGCAAAAATAAAGCAACCAATAGAAACCACTAAGCATTTTACGTTTTGAGTTTTTCAGATTTTTTGTGTTACTGAAACACGGTGAAAATTTTGGATATTAACGGTATTAGAGATTAGATCACAGAGAGGAAATCTTGTTGTATACTTGATGTACACTTAAAAATTATATGCAATACACTGGATTATTCTGAAATGCATCTACGTAAGTCTTTAAGAATGACAGTGACGAAAATACCATAAGGTGTACCCATTTTAATCCAAACATTTCCTCACAAATTTTGGATGCTGTACGATCAACTGATAGAAGCTGAGAAAGTGGCATAAGCCAGTGTTTGAATAAATAAATAAATAAAAAGATAGATTGGTTGAATATAACAATGGTCGACACACAAGGCTAACGAACTGCCTCAGCAATTAAAGTTTGAGTTTGTATTATTATGTGTAGCAAAGTCACTGATCTGAAAATTCCTGCAATAGTAATCTATTTAAAATGTTGATACCTATTAAAATATTTCAAATAATTTAGTAATATCAGTGTAGATTTCATCGTGAACTAACATCAGTTAGAAATCACTGAAGATCAGAGAGCATTGGATAGCTGTTTCGTCCCATTTTGTGACCCTTTGGTAATACGTTCTCACTGTCGTGAGTGCTACTTATTATCAGCTATAAGTAGTATACCAGCAAACGAGTTCAAAAAAGCAACAATACGTTTCCGACACTGGAAAAAGCAACTGAAGAACAGAACTGTTGGAAGAATATTAGAAACACTGTGAAGAACTCAACAACCTATCGAATTTGGTGATATTTGACTAATTTGCATGAGATGTGCAAGTGAAGCATTGGAGATATGATATTCCTGAGGATGATTCCTTCAAGCCTCAGCTGTAATTAATACCTGCCAATTGGTGTCGCTACCACCACGACCTCAACATGAATCTTGCCGGGGACTTGCATGTTACCACGCCAAGCTCACTGACCATTCAGTCATTTGGAGCGCAGTTCACTGATCCTGGTCTTCACTGATCTCTAACTGAAGTTCATTAATGACGAAATCTACTTTGAAATTAATCCAACTCCCTCCAATCTGAATAATTTTGTAGTAACTACCTATTTCCGTCAGGTCTGTACATCATTGTCTTAACACTTCCATATTCTCCTTTGATTCTCTCCTTATTATTTGTTATTTTTTGTCTGATCCTTATGTTTAATGTTTCTTTTTTCTGTGCTGTGATGGTCGACTGTTGATAATAACGTGTTGTTTTATAATTGCAGTCTTATTTGAATGAAGTCAAGGTTATGCTATAGAATGAAAGGTTGACTTTGGACTGTCTGAGAGAGAAATGATTTTTATTCTCTTTTATTTTTAAAGCAGTTAGTTCCCTTTATGAATTTCTACAAAACGATAAGAAGACATAGTTTATCTGAAACGCGTACTGCACAACACATTGCGCAATACATTTTGGACATTCTAATCCCACACGTACTTATCATACACATTTATATAGAAGGCAAGATAGTATGAATTGTTCCAATGCAAGTTAAATTGCGTGCCGGTCAAGGTCAAAAATAAGGGGTAGGAAGATGACGTCAAGGTGTGGAGTGTGTCGACTACAGTCTAAAAAGGCATTGGTCAAGTGTTTGTTCAGACACATTCACCATATATGTACAGCCGATACCACTGACGATGAAACACAACACCTCACAGAAATAATATTAGATAACAACTATCCACTGAAATTCATGAAGCATTATGGAAGTGTCAACCAAAGAGCTCTACCTATCCAGTCAGCTCCTAAAACGGATGTTATATATCATTGCTATTCAGCGATGATCATAAAGTCTGATCACTAGACAAAGACTCAAGGAGGCAATTAGTAGAACTTGTTATGCAGCGAAACTTATTTTCATAGAGAAAAAGAGGTCTATGCTGTCCTGCACACCCTCACAGCGTCCGAACGATAGTATCACATCCCATTGTGTTGACGAATTTACATGTATGTGTAGATGCATGTACATAGCAAGGACCCACCGGTCTCCGCAGGTTAGGGCTACAGAACATATTCCAAAGTGGCTGCAACAACAAATAAAATCACTGGATACAAGTGATCTCGGAAATAAACGTCCAGTGTCAGCCATAGCGAAGCACATCATAGAGGCGAGTCATAGGGTTGATTTCAACAATGCGTTTAAACCCATATACAAAACAAGGTTAAGTCACATACTTTGTTGTCGAAGTTTGTCGAAGCCTTGGCCATCAAAAGGCTTAAACCTGTCATATGTGTCCAAACATTATTTGTTATTACTTTAAACCTGCATTGGTAATCCAATTTACAACCAAGATTTGATTTACTTAATGATATTTTCACCTTCTTGCTTCTCTTAATATCTTGCCCCACGTCCCTACGTCATCTTCCTACCTCTTATTTATGACCTTAACCCGTACACAATTTGACCTGTATTGTAACGATTCATGCTATCTTGCCTTCTATATAAACGTGTATGATAAGTACGTGTGGGATTAGAATGTCCGAAATGTGTTGCGCAATGTGTTGTGCAGTACGCGTTTCAGATAAACTATGTCTTCTTTGATTTTTCCTGGGCAGCGTTTTGATTCTATCTTGTAGGACATAGCGTTACTGATTCTCAGCTTTGAAATGTATAGATACTGGACGACACTGTTGAGTAACACAGTCTTTATCAAGCTAAAACGCGTTTTGATATTGTTACAAAGTAAATTTCGATTATGTGTTACTCGTGGAAGTTTGAAAAACTGTACAGGAGATCATATCGACTGGTTTCGTGCGTTTGGACAGAAATACTTGGGTTTCGGTCATTTTTTTATTCCTTTAGGTTCCCAGTGGAACATAGGGCTTCAAGCTTGTGCTTTGAAGTTTTAGTGACAGTGGTGACATTTTACGAGGTGAGTTTGCTAGCCCCTCATGTCCATACCCCCTCTTTTTCTGGATTATAACCGGCTAAGGGAGGTCAAGGTTTTTGCCGGCTGAGACTCAGACCTCAGACCACGTGCATAGTCGGCCAGCACTCTACCGCTGAACCACCAACGCATGTTTCGGTCATCAGAATATATTAAAAGTATCTTCCTTTTGTGAAATACAATATTTTTCTTAGTTTCAACATGTAATTAAATGGATAAAGTTACTAAGCTAACAGTAGTACTGGGCTCTGTGGTAAAATGCAATTTTATACTAGATACGTTCATCTGATATAACACAAAGTGATACGGTATTAATAGCTGGACGATATCACCAGGTTATGGAAGTTATACGGTTACTGAATTCCAATATATTCAAACATGTTGACAGTGAGTTCATTTAAAAGTTCAGTGTACTTATTGTGTTACTAATTATTTAATCTTATTACTCTCAGATATTCTAACCTTAATATTAACTTTAGTTGACAACGTAAGGAAAACAATAAACCTTTTTGAATTTCTTGTTAATAAATGACCAGGGAGATAAAGGTATTAACTTTTTTAAGGAAAAATTTAATTTTACCTATAATGTACGTTTAAATGATGTTTAACTTACAATGATAAATCCCAAAAGTTACATCTAAAATCAGATTATGCTTAACTATAATAAATAGTATAGCGGTAGTAAGTTGAGTGAGTTTCTTGTAAACTGATAAAATTCACAACAACTTGAAGTGAACTAATAAAAAACAAACATTCTGAAGCACTAGAAATCTAATTAACCAACTTTAAAGACACATTAATAGTACGAATCTTTGCCAAATATTACTATATCATATTGGAATGTAGTAGTTTTGATGATATGAGTCATTTTTCTCATTTCTGCATTTGTTAAACATCAAGAAGATTGAATGGCAAGTGAAACTATTTTTAAACATTTTTTTATTTACATGAATTTAAACGACTAGTTTCTTCCCTAGTAAAATAAATCTTACGCTGTTTTATCATTGCTTTCGTAATGTGATTTATTTTGGTATCAACCTGAATTAATTGTCTTCTTAAAAGACAGTATTTGAGTTTTGTGAACTATCAAGAATCCTGAAGAATTTGTACTTTTCTTTCTGTATCACAGCAAACTGTCAATAAAATACTAAGGTTATATGACGTGCTATAATTGGTACAGTAACCTTTTGGTAATTTACCAGATTTTTACAATATTTGACTGGAGCTATTCATTTTTAGGTGAGATATTAAGCTGTTTATGTTCAGAAGTATTGCAATGTTATGAGCTTCCGATAGTTTGGGCTTCTTTGTACACATTCGGATGTTTTCCTTCTGATAATCGTTCACCTAAACAAGAAGAGGTAGCTACAGGCCAACATGTACCAATACTATGAAGTCAGCCTTTATCCTGATTGAATTAAATCTGTATACGAACCTCCAATTTTCGCAAACTTACGACTCATCACTGATTCCAGCACTGCACAGCGTGAATTTTTTGGAAAAAAAATAAACGATATACACTTTAGTGATAAGATTCATGAACACACGGTACATCTTTGTAGAATAAAACAAAGAGAGACAGTGCCATTTTCTACTTTGGATTGTCAATTACAACCATCAGGAAAGACTGAAAATCATACATAGTTAAATAAACAGATGTGATATGTATGACAGAAAAACTGTTTGGAAAATTCCTTCTGAATTGTTTCATCCAAATATTTATACTTATTTGGACGTTTTAACCAACTCTGTAATTATTATCCGTTTTCTCCTAGGTTGTACACCATTGTTCTGACATTAGCATATCATATGTTGACTTGATCCCTACTGTATTTCTCCTTGTCCCTGTTTAATCTCTAATTCTAATGCTTCTCTTTGTAGTTATGTGTACAGTGATGATGTGTTGTGCAGTGTGAGTTTGTTTGAGGGAATCAAGGTCATTCTAACTTCATACTGTCCGCGGGAAGCTTTCATGTGTAATTTTTGCGGACAGAGCCTTCGATCCTACCTTTGTGGGAATATTCTACTTGATTTTTGGTACTCATTTTGTACTTAGACTGAACTGTATCACTGCCTGACACCACTGTTAAGGTAAGTTTGAGTTTTCGATGTTACTACTGTTTAACAGAACTATAAGTTTGTTGAAGAATAATCCTATTTCTCCTGTCTTTGGTGAGTTTTGTAGCTTCAGTTGTCTGAAGGAATGTTTGTCAGCTATACAGTAGGATGCAGAATTCAGTTTCCTGAGCTCAGACTACAATGAGTCGGTTTTGATTGTAACAGTATGTTCATCTTTTAAAGTTTCAACGTAACTACTAGTTTTCTTTTTCTACTGACAAAGGGGAAAGTTTTTTATGATGTGATTTCATTCACATTCACTAGGTAAATATCTTTCATACTACGCTGCTTCAGTATTAATATTTGTCAAATTTTAATCAAAAAGTTCTGTTGGCTATAAAACAATTCACTGTCTTTATACCGATACACATTTCGATTGTTATTCAGGTTGACTGAACACTGTCAGTGTGACTAACATGAATGTTAATTGATTAATAGTTCTACAAAAGACAACATATGATCATAGAATTCAATAATCTTCGTTGCCAAGATTGTTACATTGGTTGAACATATAAACAGAGCTACACTTACACGCTTATGGTATATTTACTTCTGTAAATCAGTAAAATAGTATTTTTGAGTGAGCATCTAGTAAGGGTCAGTGTAACTCAGTTTGCTGCTAAAATGTTGAAGCCGTCTGATTCTACTTTCTCTTTACTTTTCCATCAAAAATATCACATCACTATAGCAACAGATAGAAAATTATGAACGTACAGTTTGAATGAAATTAATTGAAATAAGTGATCGTTGTTTATGAATGAAAAAATAATCATCTCCTAAGTTTTGCAGAAATTAATAAAAATTTAAAGAGACCCCTGCTGTGAATGTCTGAAACTTACATTTCACTAAGTCCAGAGAGACTGAAAACAAAGTTAACATAAATATCAATAATAGTTGATTTCCCTTTCTTACATCTCCATGAATTTAAGTCTCCATGATGTTTTTGTAAATTCTAAGAAGCTACTGGATTCCTTCTGATTCTAATTACTGCATAATGTGTATAATACAGAGCTTTGAAGAATAAAAATACTCATTTTTTTCGAAATTGTAATGCTAGTGACCAGTTCAATGAATTAGCTACTGTCTTAAGCAAAACAATTTTTTGACAACATTTTTAATCAAAAGCTGCCTGAGCATATCGGTTGTCAGTCCCTTTATATAACAATGTATTAATGACCAGAAAAGCTCTCACCCTAACATCAGTTAAATCTAAACTTGAGTGAAATAAACTGTTTAGTTTCACTGCCATTTACTTATTTAGCTGCATACCATTCTTATATATTGTGTGTTTTTCTTTCCAGTTGGATAAAAGAAAAGCATCGTAGTCAAAGGAACAATAATCAACTGAGAGAAGTGTTGATTATAATACATTAAGCTTAAAAAAATCCCTTAAATCCTGAGCGAGAGGATGTTTTTTCTTCAAACATATCTTCATGTATACTTTAACACAGTTCACAATAAATAATGTGAAATATTTTCATAGAGCAGGCATTTTAAGTTTTTTTACTGTACTCACAGTTCTCCTAGGAGTCTTAGACTGAAAAAAAGAATTTGGTAACTTTCCAGTTTCATCGATGAAAATGTTATAAACAAAATGCATCACATAAATTTTAAAAATCTATTTGAGAGATATGTGGAAGTGACGTTTGTTTATTTCATGATACAAGTTAGTAGTGTTTAACAGAGAAATGTTAAACATTAAGATACGTTAGGATACATCATCAATTTGAAATAGATAACCAAGAAATAATGGTAACCTTCGATGTCACAGCATTATATACCTCAAATGGACAGAAACTAGCAAAAGAGACCATGGAGCAGTTACTCAGCAACGACGAACACCTCCCACAACAAGTAAAAATGCAACACACAAGTTGGATGGAATGCATAAACCTATGCCTGACAACGTACTTCCAATTTGACAGCCAAATATATGAACAAATTAAAGGTACACCCATGGGATCGCCCATATCAGGTTTGATTGCAGAAGCTGTGATGCAAAGACTCGAAAACATAATCCCACCGAAGTCCAAAGCCAAAATTTGGAGACGTTACGTAGATGACACATTCATAATAATCAAAAGAAACGAGTTGGACAAAACCAACAACTTAATAAACTTAATTAACGACATCAAATTCACAAGAGAAGAGGAATCTGAGGACGAAATTCCATTTTTGGAAGTCTTAATCCGACGAACAGCCGCAATAAAAATTTGAAACTCAAGTTTAAAGAATATCAACCCACACAGATCAAATACACAATTACAACAGCAACAATCCAATAACACACAAAAAGAGTTACATAAAAGCATTATTCAAGAGAGCCAGGACTCATTACAGCACTCCTGGCTTAAGGAAAATTGAAGAACATATCTCATGGACGTCTTCCAAAAGAATTGGTATCCACAGAACTTGATTAAAAGATATATACCCCCTCAATTCAACCAACCAAATCAAAGGCCATCAAGGAAAACACAAAGAAAATCACCTTACCATATATGAAAGACATCTCAGAAATCACTGCGAGACTCTTCAAACTTTTAGGAATTGATGCTTTTGCCGAAGTAGACACCCTTTTCGTCTTCGTACCCAGGAAAAAACTAACTATCAAAAGACACGATATCCATCCCTTCATGTTGCTGTATACACACAACCACGGACATCGATTCGACTGGGACAACGTTCAAATATTAGGCAGAGGAAACACCAAGAACCCTAGCGAATTTTTACAAGCTTGGTATTCCAGTGAATCGGCAATAACAGGCACAATGACAGACAAAATTTACCAATCCATAAGAGGAAAATCTCATGCACAAAAAGTTAAACTTCAGGTCAAGGAAACAATCAGTACAAGTAGACTACAGGATGTGAAAACAGACAAAAGCAACTAATCACGTCCCAGGTCACCAGGAGAAATGACTAGTAAACTCGAGGGGAAATTTAAAAGCTGACTTCAAATTGAAGTATGCGCTAAAGATTCTGCAAATAAACTATCTGGCTGCAGAAACATCTACAAAAACAACATTACTCGCTTCATTTTACAACTCAGTTTAAACGAATACCGCTGATACATTTCATGGAGTAACTTAGCAGTGATTATGGTGAAGACGTTTTCTCGTACTCTATTGTTTCACTATCAAGTAGAATGAGAAACAAATATTTCTGATTAATCACCAATGCCACAGAATGCAAATGTTATAAGGCAACCTTAACTAACATTGTTGGTTGAAAGTTAAGATGAATTGTGTGCTAGTCGAAAGTTGAACATAGTGTAATAAGTGCATCTGCATGTAAAACAAAAACTTGGAGTAATTATTTCAAGTACAACATTTATGAAGTAACTGTAGTCGAAATTCAGAAATGTTTATGATTATTCTCGTGAGTTATGTTCAGTAATCAGGGTTTACTGTAGGTAGCAAGCTACTGAAGCTATTTCTGGCTTCAAAATTTTGATTTACAATAATATGTGGACAAATTTGTTTAGCAATTATGTAGTCAACCATAATCCGTCGATTCATTTTTGACACAATACATTTTTGTGTGTAGAAACTTAGTTTAAATATTTTGGCGAAAATGTGCTTCTGCAATAACAGAGCGACATGTTTTTGATATTTTTCCAACTCAATAAAGATAAAGAGATTCAGAATGGAGAGCTGTTATTCATCCTCAGTACAAGTACTCAATGGGTCTCTTCTAACTTCAACAGATTTCTTTAGACGAATATTTTGATGGCTTTTATATTTTTTTAAATAGTCTGTCATTGTTTACAGTGAAATTATTTGTTAAAAATTCAACGATTTCATTTCGATAAGTTTCCTTAGATTTCAAAGAGATGATAGTAACAAACTGCAGCTCGATCCGATTCATTTGACTATCTCGACCAAACATTTGTGACCAGGTGTCTTTCACTCAGCGGTTAGGACGTTCGTCGATTATGCACATGGTCCGGAGTTCGGTCCCCTGCCGACGCACACCTGATATCCATGGTTGGTCTGCTAAATTTGTGCTACCGATATCACATGCTGAAAATTCCATACTTTTATCAAAAATACTGTGTGGAGTCAAGCCATAATAAAATAAAATGAATAATATAGCGTAACAAAAATGTTTAAACTTTTATTACTCATGAACATCAGTGGGTGAACGAAGCAATGTAGTAGCCTGCTTGAATCACTGGGCCACCTGAATTTCACTCCGAGAGGATGTATCTCATTTTCTTTAGTTCTCCATGTTATTATCATTCAATTATGTCTGTGGTTCGCCAAATGTACTCATACACATTTTCTAATTGGCTTGTAACCTACTGTTGCTCACTTCTGAAGGACCAAAGAAAAATACCATGAAGGATCATTTCATTTTTCAGATCTAACATCACTGTATCAAATGATGTATTGGAGATGGCCGTTTAACTTGAATTTCCCTGGATAAAGAGAAAATATTATGTCATAAACTAGGCTGAAAATTATGCATATTGTGTAAACTTATTATGCATAATGAAGCTACTGTTATTATTATTAATATAATATCCGGGTCTGTTAATTAACAAAGTTATTTTTCGAACTTAATTCATCTTCACTAGCCTGTAGAATAAAATCTGTCGCGATAGGAAAATGTTTACTTTTCTTTCAGTTCCAGTATGTTTTTTATTCCTTTACGTTCCCAGTGGAACACAGAGGGCTTCAAACTAGAGCTTTTAGAAGTTTCGGTAGCAGTGGTGTTTATTTTTACGGGATGGGGTTGCTAGCCTCATACCCAACCTTCCCTCTTTACCTGTCTTATTACTGGCTTAGCGAGGTTTAGGAGTGCGTCGGTCGGAGATCGAACCCCGGACCACATGCGTGGTTGGTGAGCATTCTACCCCTGTGCCACCAACGCTTTCAGTTCCAGTATTAGGCAGTAATTTGGAAGGAAAAAATTATTTCACAATCAAAGTATCTGTGTACTTAACTACAGTACAAGTGAAAGACGAAATACACGGTATAGCTTTACTTACAGTACTTCAAGCCAGTGCTTTCTAGATAATTTTATAATTAAAAATACAAAACGAATAAATCTGTGTAAATCATTTATGTCAGTAAGAAGTTTGAGCATTGTGGAATAGATCAAATAAATAATTTTTTTCAATAGTTTACACACAATGATAAGTTTTTTTTTTTTTGATAATATTTCGGTACTCAATAGCGACTGACCCTATTCAGGCAGTCACCTGGAGTTCTAGTGGGAAGCTGTGACCAGTAGGGTACGGCAGGTCAAAGGTGAGTACAGTCACTCATAGAAGAAGACATTGCTAAGTGGTAGCACTATGTCGTAAATTGGCAGAAGTTCATGGACCACTGGATCGGGTCTCAGTGGCTTAATGATCTACAAGCTGGCCTTGTAATCAGAAGGTCCTGACTTCAACCCTCGGTGGGTGTGTACTGATGAACAGTCCCAAACTAGGACAGAGGAAACAGCTGTCCAGTACTCCCAGTTGGTTTTCCAATGGTTCTCTAACCGATGTCAGCTCTTGATGAAATCCTCCAACCAATCAAACAAATTCCTCACAAACCAATACTTGAAAACAAAATACTTACCATTGAAATTTAGTTATAACTTATTTGTGTGAATCATACCATTTGCGTAATTAAACGCGAGTGTGTATAAACGCTGATCTCACCTAGGAATCAGTGTTTCAATAATGCTATGCAAACTTTATTTACAATGTATCAACACCTTATTTTGACATGTGTAAACATTCGAAATTCTTCAGAAGTTTATATTTTTTTTCGAAGATAATAAGACCAGGTAATTTAATCGAATTACATTTTACTCCCAATCAGACGTGTGTAAAAGTCATAAATGAATGAAAATCATTTCTTCTATTCCACCCATTAGCCGATTTAATTCTGAAGTTAAATTTCAGAACATTTATCTGCCTACTGAACAACTTATGCGGATGTTTTTCTAATATGTCTAATTTGAATAAGTAGCCAAAGCATTAATTGGTGAGTTTCTTTAGCAGATCGCTTTCGAAAGATGAATCTTAACTCCCATTAGCTCTTTTAACTTCTCTTTTAAATTTGAGAAAGTAGTTTTAGTAAATCACTGAAATAAACATGCAAATGAAACTCACGGTTCAATTGGAACTTGATCTATATATATATAAAGTCATATGTCGAAGAATAAGTAAATCTTTTCATATCATGATAGTTATGGCTTAATGAATGAATTAATTTAAGCTATCACTTCTAATATTTCACCTTTTTTATTGAAATAACCGATATTTCATCCAATTAATTCGTCAAAAAATATGATGAGACTTTTATTTTCATGACAAATGAATGGAATGGTACGCTAATTGAAGTTTTATTAATCAGTGTCTCATGGAGTTTGTTCATAAAATGCATACAGAAAGAAATCACTACCTCTCCTTTGGTTTGTGAAAAATTACTGTCCTTTTTAGACAGAAACCACTTAACCAGAGAAAATTATCATTTGCAAAAATGAGATTGTAAAATTCAGGAGAACGTTTATAATTTTAGCCGACGTTTGTAATGCTAAACTACTGAATACTGACTGAGAAATACGTTTTGGTTTAAGCTGGAGAATTTATCCTCTTTTCAAACATTATTTACAGATAATGACTAGTAATTGAAGCATCTCATTATATAAAATAGATGTGTAGCAAGAGTCAAAAGAATTCACAGTAGATTTGTTAATATTCCTTATAGATAGTCTTAATTTAAAGTAACATAATTATCAGAAACATCTCAATACTGACGAAAGAAATTCCCTCAAATTACTCATGTCATGAAATGGCAGGAGTTGGAATTCATCAGTTGGCCATTGGATCGGGTCTCAGTGGCTTAATGGTCTACAAGCTAGCTCGCATTGTAACCAGAATGTCCTGAGTTCGAAGCCTGTTGGTGGGTGCGTGCTGTGTAGAGTCGTGAACTGGGACGAAACAGCTGTCAAGTACTCCCTGCAGGCTTACCAATGGTTCTCTAACTGATGTCAGCTCATTATGAAATCCTCCAACCAATCAAACGAAAATCCACACAAAACCAATACTTGAAAAGTACTCAACATATAATTTTTCAAACTTGGAAATCAACAAATTCAGAGAAGAAATAATATCTTTGTGGATAGATCTTATTAAATTATTTATTATTCGTTCCTCGCATCCTAAGTGAAACATAGGGCTTCAGTGGCACATCTAAGTCGCGCCTGATTCCCAGCAGTCATTTTCAATTACTTGCCTCCATGACTATGTTCTTAATATCTGAATGGAATTTTTTGTGGACTTAACTTTGAAAAAGCAAGGTCAGGTTGATAATCCATCTTTTATTTTTTACCGTATAATCTGCATATTTCAGACAATTTTAAATATCTACTAGTTATAAAGAGGTATTAATCATATTTTCAAAAAATTAACTCAGGTAATATGTATACTTTGCCATAAATATGGATGATTTGCAAACTTTTCTTTCTGATATTCGTCAGTGACATTGAAGCCAAATTAAAACATCTGGGTGCTTTATATTTTTGCAGGACATTAATGTGTGCCATCCTAATGTTTATTTGCTCTGAAGAGTCTAAAAACTTATTGATTATCAGAATATTTCAGGTGAATTTCACCAATATTCTAACTTTGACATTTTGTGTTTCGAAACAAAAATACCTGTAACCTAAGGAACCAACAACAACAAACGTAAATCGCCGTCAACAGGGAAAATCTGAAATAATTAGCCTCTTTCAATTACCTAGGCAACGCTGTTTCAACTACAGGCAACACAGGTGAGGATGTAAAAGTCAGGATTACAAAAGCAAGATAGACCTCCATTAAGCTGAAATCAATGTAGAAATAAGCATAAAGAACAACATTCGAATTTTCAACACTAATACTAAATCAGTTGGTGCTCCTACATAGTTCAGAGAATTACCGTGAGCGTTACCTACAGTATTTCCGACAACTTTCCACAGACTTTTATCAACAGCTGCCTTCGCTGCCTCCATAATGAAGATCAAGTTGTCGGTCAGAAGGGGTGAACAACAAGTAATTTTAGCAGTTCAGCGAACCAACAAAGAATATGTTGACTAGCGTATATGCTGAGGGTAATGAAGGTGGATTGGACATATCCAGAGAATTCTGCTGAGTGATATTACACGTTGTGCCGTTCAGTGGAACTTGAGTGCGAAACGACAGTTTGGGTGTGGACTTGAGGTTCAAATGGAAAAAAGATCATGTGAGGAGGAAATGAGAGCTCATTGTCAGTCGTGGAGTCAGTCTAAAGGAGACTGCAAAGAATAGTGTGAAATGGTCACGTGTTGTTGTCCCACCTAGAATCCAAGGTTATAATAACAATATTTGGAGATTCAGAATTGTCGTCCGTAAACAAAACGACCAACATTTTTCTTATTAATTGCAACAACAACTACTAAGCAACTTACCCTCATCCTCTTGTATTGATGCTGCAATTTGCAAGCTGAAAAATGCTAACAAGCACACGAAACCAATTTTACTGATCATGTTGGATGAACAGTAAAGTATACATGAATACTATCAGCTTTTATAGACGAAATCACTTATAAACTATTCTTTTCATTGGTTAATATGAATGTGTAACACGTGTTCATGAAATTCGACTGATAAATCATGTGAATTCGAAAAAAGCGGTAGCTGTGTGATTTTCGTTACAATTATAACTTGCTTAGAACAAATTTTGTGAGCATAGTGCACTATGAAATGTCAATCTATTATTTACCACCCGCCTTTCAGGCACGTTTACATGAAATCTTAAAAATAGCACAATGTTTTTATGGCGTGATATACTGTCACTACTATGATAACTAGGTAGATAACAAATATTCCATAATTCTCACTTTTGTAACAAGAGATTCGATTTATTAGCAGCGATTTCACATCACATATCACAGTAGGAACTCATAGTAGATACTTGCATAATAATTTCAAGGAATTTTAAGGCCCTTGTCTTCTGTTGTTACAATATGACTGCTGATATGACTTAGGAGACTGTGGGTGGTGCGATGCTAATGCACAAAAGGTATCTATTTTATTCTCAAACCACAAAAAAGAACAACAATATGAAGAAAAGATGGATGCCAGCAGAAGCGCAGTTGAATAATCCATTAAGGGTAAGAAGTATTATTATTATTATTGTATCCTTTAATTCCTAGAGGAACATAGGGCTTCAGCCGTGCGTCTCCATTGCGTTCGGTTCTCTGCTAGTCTTCACCTGGCTCCATGTCTGCCCACACGTTTTCATCTCCTCTTCACATGACCTCCTCCAAGTCACCCTTGCACTGACGACCAACTCGCCGCTTCCCTTTCGGGTTCCACTCGAGCAATGGCTTGTCTAGTGATGTCACTTGATGGTTTCCTCAGAGTATGACCAATCCATCTCCATTTCTTCCTGCCTATTTGTTTCACAATCGGTTCCTGGTTGGTTCGCTCCCAGAGATTCCTGTTGCTGATCTTTTCTGGCCATCTGATCTTGAGTATTGAGCGAAGACAACTGTTAATGAAGGTCTGTAGTTTGTTTGAGATGCTCTTTATGACGCGCCAAGTCTCTGATCCGTATAGTAGCACTGACTTCACATTGGAGTTGAAAATCCGGATCTTATTTTTGATGCTGAGTGCTGTTGACCTCCACACAGACTTGAGAGTAGTGAAAGCTTGTCTTGCTTTTCCGATTCTTGCTTTGATATCCTCGTCAGTTCTGCCTGTAGTTGAAACGATGCTTCCCAGGTAGGTAAAGGAGGTTGTTTCTTTCAGGTTCCTCCCATTTATGCTGATTGTTGTCAGTTGTTGTTGTTGCTGTTGGTGGTGTTGCCCAGGAATCTTCATCACCTCTGTTTTCTCTATGTTCACCTGAAGTCCTATCTTCTGAATGCTTCTTCTGCCAACTTGTTGCTTTTCGCTTGCATATCTTCCAGTTTGTGGGAAATCAGACATATATCATCGGCGAAGTCCAGATCCTCCAAGTTTTTTGTGTGAGTCCATTTTATGCCTGTTTCCTCATTGCCCGCTGTTTGTCGCATTATCCAATCTACTCCAATCAGGAAAATCATTGGCAATAGTAGGCAGCCTTGTCTTACTCCTGTCCTCACTTCGAAGGATTCCGTAAGTTTCCCGTTGTGGATTACTTGGCATGCAGCATTGTCGTACAGCTGTTGGATGAGATGTATTATTGTCGGTGGCACCCCATAGTAGCGAAGTAGTTGCCAAATCACCTCTCGATCGACGCTGTCGAAGGCCTTTTCAAAGTCGATGAAGTTGAGATAGAGAGGTGACTGCCATTCCAAGCTTTGTTCAATGATGATCCGTAATGTGGCGATCTGATCAATGCATGACTTGTTTCTCCTGAATCCAGCCTGTTCCGGTCGTAGTTTTTCATCCGGGGCATGTTTGATTCTCTCCAGGATGATGCGGCTTAGTATTTTGCTTGGGATGGACAGGAGCATACTTCCGCGCCAGTTCTTGCATTGACTTAAGTCTCCTTTCTTTGGTAGTTTGAATAAGTATCCTTTCTTCCAATCCTCGGGTACTTTGCCTTCTTTCCACACCTTCTCCAGTAGTGGCGTCATCAAGTCCGCTGTTGTCTCTGGGTCCATTTTCAATGCTTCTGCTGGGATTCCATCTGGTCCTGCTGCTTTTCCAGCTTTTAGCATCTTGATTGCCTTCAGGACTTCTGATTTCGTCGGGGGGTTGGTGTTCACTGGTAGCTCTGTCTCCGTTGTTGGTATTGTTGGGCGCGTTGTAGGTGGTGGTCGATTTAGGAGTCTTTTGAAGTGTTCAGCCCAGTGTTTCCTTTGCTCCACTTCTTTGGTGAGTGACTTTCCATTGTCATCCTTCACCGGCTTGATTTGTGTCAAACGTTTGCCCGATAGGTACCTAGTTGTTTGGTAGAGTGTTGCGAGGTCTCCTTTGCCTGCAGCTTGTTCTGCTTCACTTGCCATGGTTTCATAATACTTTCTTTTGTCTTCTCTGGCACTCTTCTTTACTCTTTTGTTCAGTGTCTTGTAGCTTGCATTCAAATTCTGTTTTTGTTGCTCGTCGGTGCACTGGAGTATCTTCTGTTTCACCATCCCTCTCTCTTCTATCAGTCTCCAAGTGTCCGTAGTGAGCCACTGTTTGTCCTGTCTCTTCTTTCTGCCTAGAACTTCCATGCAGGTTTGACTCCACACCGCTTTCAGGTTGTTCCAGTGCTTTTCGACGCTGACCTCTTCGCTAGTGTTGATTTGTGTCTCGGCTTTGTCCTTTATGCTTACAGTGAAGATGTCCTTTGTGTCCTGATCCTTCAGTTTTTGAGTGTTGAACTTGGCTTGTGGTCTATCTGCAGCTCCTGTTTCTCTGAAAGCTTTTAATTTGATTTGGATTGTCCCTTGTACGAGGTAGTGGTCTGAGCCAACGTCTGCTCCTCTTCTTACTTTCGTGTCCAGCAGGCTGCGCCTCCACTTCCTTGAGATTGAGATGAAGTCAATTTGGTTTTTGGTTCGCCCATCTGGTGACACCCATGTAGCCTTGTGGATATCTTTGTGTTTGTATACGCTGCCACCAATCACTAGTTCATTGAAGGCGCAGAAGTCGGCGAAGAGTTCTCCATTTTCATTCATTTCTCCGAGAGCTTCTTTACCCATGATGAGTTCCCTTCCTGTGTTGTCTGATCCCAGTTTGGCGTTCATGTCTCCCATTAGTATTTTAATGTCACCGGCTGGAGTATTGTCCATTGTTGCCTGTAGTTGTCTGTAGAATTCTTCTTTCTTTTCGAGGTCTGCGTTGTTTGTGGGTGCATAGAAGGGTAAGAAGTAGCACCAGTCTATTTGATGAATGATGATTACTATCTACCGTAAAATCTCATTTTGACAAAACAAAAGACTTGGAACTTGACTGGAGTAGTTTAAATAATCTATTTACGTCTTCTATCGAGACGAAAATTATCTGAAGAAAATTTTCTGTTAGACAAAACATTATTGATTAAAAAGATGGTTTACCAAAGTTTTAACAACCACTTACTGCATGATATCTTAAGACAGTGGAATATGTATTGGAAGTGTTGAAGGGTCATCATCAAGACTATGTTCGTGAGATAAATGTCACTGACAGAACGTTTGGAGAAGAAGAATAGAGAAGAAAAGCAACTGTAATTTATACAGTACCTGCTTCGGTAACTTCGTGTGTAGAACGACGAATGTCTAGACTGTTACACGACTTTTCAAAACTTGACAGTATGAACCATACTTTCCAATCAAGTATTTCTCAAAGTAATGAAAACGTTGGAAGTATAAAATAAATTCAAAAATCACTATCTTATAATGCTTGACACAATTTGAAGGCATTTAACTATGATAAACGCAGGATGCTTGGGATTATGTGCAGAATGAAATATCATCCAACTAGCAGTTATTCTTAGGAATTACTTCTCAGGTATTACAAGTATATAACTTATAAAACTACAGCATTATTTATCAGTCAGCATGGACCAACTGGTGTTATCTTACATTCACTAATTCACAGGGATCCAACCTATTTAATGTATGATATTCTTTGAGGACTCAAGCAGCATTTGAAATTGATCCTTTCAGACTAATTTGAATATTATTATTATGAATACTATTAATTAGTAAATATATATTTAGAGAGACAATAAGATTTTTCGCATTTGTTGGGATACTTCCGTCAGATGTCTGAGTTACTCCAGAAGATTTTATCATACACCTACTTTACGAGATTGGTTAATTTCAGTACACAGAAAATTATCCCTTTAGATCATATGAACTTTGGAACTTAGTTTCAACTTTTTATTGTAGATTTCATAGTTAAGGTTTCTACTTACTGTTCTAGACAGTGATATTATGTGATTATATATGTGAGGTATTAAAATACCAGCATGTCAGAAAAACTGGACACCATTTTTCTGAATGTCTGCCATAATATGCCAGGACTTCTTTAGCAGAAGTGATCAGATTCAATCTAAAGACATATGATCGCATAAAATACAAAATATGATGGACTTGCTTCGGTTGTTGTTTGGACAAAAAAAGGTAACGTTAACATATTGTTAGCACTGTCTGCATTACAGTATGCACATATGTATTAAGTGATACTGACATGTATGCAGGTTACTTGGTATTAGATAATGTAACAGCTGTGAAAATATGTTAGATTAATGAAGACAGTTAATTGTCACTATTAAAATTTCCATATGAAACAGCCATCTCCAATGATTTCTTGGAGTCGTAAAGGTGGGAAGTTTATTCTGTAATTTTCGACTGATTCCATTGAAGATAATTTTGAATTCATTCTTTGTGTGAATAAAAGCCTTATTGTCTTATTTTAAAGGTGACAGCATTAATCCTGTTATATTATTTATTTCTTACATTCTGTGTGGAACATAAAGCTTCACCTGAACATTTCTACTGCATTTGTTTCTGTACCATCAGTTTCATCTATCATTATGCCTGCTCACAAACATTCATTTTCTGTTCATATGGTCTTCCACATGCCACCCTCA